GCTGCCGAGACCAACCCCCCTATGGGGACAACCCCTAAAAAAAAAAAAAAAAAAAGGAAAAAAAAAAAGAATGTGTGAAAATATTGAATTCTTCTCTAAATGTCTGGTAGAATTCAAACATGAAGCTACTAGCTTCTTTGTTGGGGAAGTTTTGATTACTGATTTCGTCTCCTTACTCATTATTGATCTGTTCAGAATTCTTTATTCACCTTCATTCTGTATTTATCCAACTTATGTGTAATTGTTCATAATAATCTTATGCTTTGCTATTCTGTGGTATAAGTTGTAATGTGTCCTTTCATTTATAATTTCATTTCACTTCTTTTTGTCTGGATTAATCTAAAGATTTGATTTTGCTTATCTTTGTGAAAAACCAACTTTGTCTTGTGGGTCTTTCCTATTGTCCTTCTAGTCTCTTATTTATGCTCTATTATTCCTTTTGCTGAATTTGCTTTTTTTCCCTCTAAGTCTGTGAAATATGTCAGACTGTTCACTTCAGATCCAGATCTTTGTTCTTAATGGAGGCATTTATGACTATAAACTTGATTTCACTGAATCCCACAAGTTTTGGTATGTTGTGTTTTCATTTTCAACTGTCTCAAGGCACTTGTTGATTGCCCTTTTGATTCCTTCTTTGACCATTGGTTGTTCCGAAGTGTGTTGCTTAATTTCCATATATTTTTGAATTCTCTAAAATCGCTCCTATTACTAATTTCTAGTTTTATACCATGTGTTCAAGAGATACTTGAAATTGGGGCCAGCAGATGGCATGGTAGTTAAGGGTGCTAGATTCCCACATAGCTGACTACGATTTGAGTCCCGGGACCTGGCAGTTTGCTTTCTCCCTTTCTCACTCTATCCTTCTGGTCAAATTAAATAATTTTTTTAAAAAGCTTTAAAAAAAATACTTGACGTTTTGATCTTCTTATAAGACTTGTTTTGTGGCCCAAAGTATGATCTCTTCTGCAGAATGTTCTATGTGCCCTTGAGAAGAATGTGGCCCTGCTGCTGTTACTCGGAACGTTCTGCGTGTGTCTGTTAGACCCATTTGGCCTATGTGTTTGACTCAAGTCCACTGTTTCCTTATTGGTTTTCCGATTGATCTATCCATTGCTGAGCTGGTACTAAAGTACCCAAACTCTACTGTATTACTATTTCTGTCTTTAGTTTTGTTAATATTTTCTTTATACATTTAGATATTCCAATGTTGGAAGCATATATACTTATAGTCGCTATCACCTCTTGAAAATCTGATCTTTTTACCATCCCATAGTACTTTATCTCTTGTAACAAACTTTGACTGAAAGTTTATTTTGTCTAACACGGGTACAGACACCCTTGCACTCTTTTTCACATTGTTAGTGTATCTTTTGCATTTCTTTGCTTTTAGTCTACGTTCTTCCTTAAGGCTAAAGTAACTCTTGTTGGCAGCATATTGTTGGATTTCTTTGATTTATCTATTCATCCACTTTTTTTTTTCTCTCTTTTTAAGAGATATTTTTGCTATAGGACACCTGTGCTTGCCAGAGAGAGAAAGAGAAAGTGAGAAATCACCTCCCCTTACCCCCCACCCCATATGGCCACACTGCAATTCCTTCTTCCCTATCCCCTCAGGATCTTGGGCATGAATGCACACACGCCCAGCATGAGTTTTAAGCCACCCTGCCCGGGACTTGAACCATGGCTGACTACATGGGAGTCCAGCAACATAACCATTATGTCATCTTTCCCATCCACTCTGTCTTTTGGTTGAAGAATTCCATCCATTTACATTTAAAGTATAATTATAGGTAAGAACTTACTCTTGCCATTTTGTTTTGTTGTTCCCGTCTTCCTTCCTTTCACTCTTTAATGCCATATTATCCCCTCCTCTGCCTTTTCCTACTACTTTTCTGCCAAAGACAGCTATGCTAAGAGGTTTTTACTAAGTGTCATGGTATGCCTCACAACATGCTAAGCTATGTAATGATAAACGCGAACAAAAATTCTCTACTTTTCACTAATATAAAAAATGTAAAGCTATGATAAGAAGAGAGTTTTCTAAAGAATTAATCTTATTATTTTTTAATTTGGAGAGAGAGAGAGAGAGAAAGAAAGCCACCATGGGACCAGCAGTTAGCGTAATGGCTATGTCACTGAACTCCCAGTTTGAGTCCCAGACCTGGTGGCTTAAACTCACGCTGGGTGCGTGTGCGTACATGCCCAAGATCCCAAGAGGAGAATGGAGGAGAAGGGATTGCAGCGTGGCCATCCCCCCTGGGGCGGGGGGGAATTTCTCACTTTCTGTCTCTCTGTCTCTTTCTGGAGAGCGCATGTGCCCTATAGCAAAAACCTCTCAAAAAAAAACAAAAAGCAAAATGCAAGCCACCAGGTTCGCGTTATGAACCGCAGTCAACCACGTGAGAGTTCAGTGCCTTAACCACCCATACCACCTGCAGGCCCCAAGATAGTTTATATGTCAAAGTTTGGCAGACTGTGGCCCTCCTGGACCAAGTCCCCTCTGTCACCTGATTTTGTCAATGAAGTTTATAAACACGGTCATATCCACATATTGGCTTACATCTTGTCTGTGATCTGGTGCTGCCACCGCAGAGTTAAATAGCTACAACAGAAACTAGATGGATGAAAGGCAAACATATTTTTGCTCTTTTATCCCTATTGACAAAGTTTATCAACCCTGTTTTAAATCATTAGCATTTTTCTGTGTCTTTAAATGAGAAAGAGCACCAACCATGCTTATGCAAAGGGCAACCTCAAATGTCCCCGCAAAATTAAAAGACAATATTCTCCTTCCTTCACTAATGGAGACATTAAAATGGCCATCATTTCTTTACACTCTCTTCTACAGATATTAAAAACAAAACGCTTATTCACTTACTTCCAAGTATGTTTCCCCATACATACTCTTTCCTTTGAAATCTACAGAAAAGCATGTACCCGTTTTCTGTGCAGAATCCTCAGGTGTTAAAAAAGCAGAACTACCCTGGAATTTTGTCTCAGAAATTTTTGGAGATGTGGCTTTATTTTGCTTCAAGGTTTCTTTCTGTAGTGGCGTTAGACATATAGCCTAAAATATAGTATCCTTTTTAAGTGTTTATGACCATTCAAAACAAGTTATTAGAAAATTACAAGATATGTCCAACATTGTTAAAAAAAAAAAGCTTAAATATTAGATTTACTGCACTTAAAAATAAATGCTCAGAATTGGAAGAACATTGTATCTTTCTATGGATAATTTTAAATCATGGTTCTCAAGGTGTCATCTAGACCAGAGCAACAACATCCAGAAACTAAGATAGAAATTCACATTCTCAAGGTCTATCTATGATCTATCTACTCAATTAGAAACTATCAACAGGACCCAATGCTCTGTTTTAGCAAGTCATCCAGGTCATTCTGATGATCGCTAATGCCTGAGAAACATTCCTCTTAATCAGGAGATGGCAAACGACAGCCCACCACCTGTTCTTATAAATAAAGCTTTATTGGAACGCATTATGGCTAGAAAGGAAGAGTTGAGTAGTGACCACAGAGGCATATGACTTTTAAAGCCTAAAATATTTGCTATCTGGTCCTTTACAGAAAAATATTTTTTGTCCCTGCTCTAATTATTCTCTTATACTCGAACACGGAGAAGTATAATTTGAATAGTAATATTTCTAAAATAACGATATTTGTACAAAGTCACCAGTGGTGCCCTCCCTGGAAGTCGGCAGTTCCACAGCTTAGATTTATGGACTCTCAAAGCTGTCATGTTTTGGTGGTGCTTATTTAAAACAAATGCTGTTATTTATTAGAAACTGTTCTTTTGGCCCATTTCTGATGGATAATTATTTCAGGATGAACTACTCCATAGTCAAGTATTGGCTTTGGCTCAACTATCTTTGTCCCTATGTAACATGAGTCCTTAAGATTAACCAAGCCAAAAGTGTCCCCGGCTAATGGAACTGACGGAGCTATGGTTGGAGAACTAAGCACATCATATTGGGCCATCAAGCAGGTCATGATGCATTTTTGCATAGAAAAACACGACTTCCCCAACAACCTCATATGTCCACACAAGACGGTAGGGTGCTGCTGACACCTTGAGACTAAGAGAAGCTACTCTTCCATGCTTTACACTATACTCAATCTTTAAACAGCTTACTTGATAGAAGAAAAAAACACCACCACAAATAATAAATAAACCAACCAACCACATGAGGGAGGTAAATCAGCTAATACAAGGCAAAGTTCGCCTTCAAATTAGTCTGCAGAACACTGTGGGCCACGTTCCTAACTACTCAGATATAAAATGAGGATAAACCAAGGGAAGCTAAGAAACTTTGAGGGTTTAATTCAATATTTATAGAAGTCCAAAGGCACTTCAACCACTTGCAATGGAAGATTTAAATTCCTAAATCATGAAAAGCTTTGGAAGTAACACATGGACAAACTAAAAACTAAAGGAAGAATTAAACCAGTTCATGTTAAAATGTAAATTCAAAAGAACATACGTTTGCAGGAAGTCAGATCAGCTCAGACCTTTAGCATTGTTCATACCATCTTTCGGCAACATTTAGGAACAATTTAAAAAATTATAAATCTTTACTCAAGATTCAGACTAAACGTTTAGACGTCCTTGCAGTTTCTATTGGCAAAGACTTTAAATACCAGCAAACCACTGGCTTGTTATTCTCCTGGTCCTTAAAGTTGTTTTGAGAATGATCAATGATTGCCATTTAACCCATGAGGGTACGTGGGAGCCCAGGTAAAATTTACTTACCTGTTCTTTCTCATAGTCACTGCCACTACTGAGAGGTGGAAGTGGCAAGACTAAAACGAAAGAAAAACAAGTATGTAAGAGAAGTGCTTACTCACCAAACATGCAGACATTCATTGCTCCTTTCCCAACTATAAATGCCAATGCTGGAAGCAATTCCTACCTCCTACAGCTTGCTGGAATGCCTATTTAATTTTTTCTCTTTATTTTATACATTCAATCACTAAACATCACTTACCTTGTAAATTTACACAATTTGAATACACTTCACACCAGTCGAGGATACTATACACATGATCATCAACAGATAGTAATCCATTTCTGTGTCCCATAAATGTCTTGCCCATTTTTTTGCTAATTTCTTTCCTCTCACTCTCTCCCATCTCCCACCCTCTTTCCACACTGTCTCCAGTATCTATAACCATTGTCCATGCTTCTATATCCTCTAAGCTTTCCATTTCCACCATAGAGCATAGAGAGGCGGTATATGTTAAGTGGAGACATACAATGTCTCTCTCTCATAGCCTGGCTTGCTTCACTCAGCAGTAAATCTTTCATATTCATCCACTTTCTATCAAATATCAGCGTCGTCTTGTTGTTTTATGGCTTAGTATTCCACAGAGTATATGTGCCATACTTTCTCAATCCATTCATCTGTTCATGGACATTTGGGTTGAAATGCCTACTCTTAATATCCCTTTCTAATTATTCAGCTTTGCTCGTCATCTGGCATGAATACAACTGCTCCAAAACTTGACCCTGAACATCACCCCCTTGTCCTGTCTCATTCTCATGGTTTTGCCTAAGAGTGCTTCCCCTTTTCCTCAGGGGAATAGGGTTTCAAAACCTATTCTTTATTTGAGGGTTAACTCATGTCCCCATCCACCTCTTCCCAGATAATTTCCTGATGCTCATAACGCATGGCAGATCTCTCATCTGAACTCCTAGTCCATCTACTCATAGCTCATTAAAATTGTTGGTTAATCCTTCTTTTTCTTATACAAACATTTTGCCTTCCCAATGAAACTGTAGCAGGAAAGGAGGATTCCAAGATTCTGTATTTCTTTAGTACCCTTCCCTATCCCATACTGAAAAATACTTGCCGACTTGAGAAGTGACTTAAAGAGGGCAAGTGCCAAACTTACTTCTTAGACTACTTCTGACTCTTGTCTTTTTTCTCCCAGAATATGGTTTTAGGGATTTCCTTTTTTGGTTACTGGTCCAAGACAGTTCACTGGTACTAGAACTCGAATCTTGATTACTTTCAGAGAAGAGATGTTTCCTGTAATTAAACTTTTACCAAAAAAGATGACAAATGAGAATTTTATTTTGGGGGTGTTAGTTCCATTTATGGACAAATGTATTACACATTCAGATATAAGAGAAGGAACTCTTTCTGGAAGACTGGGCTCTCTTATAATAAAAAGCCACAGGACCATGGAGTGGTACAGTGGTAATACAACTGGGCCCACATGGGAAAGGTCCTGGGTTTCTGTCCTAGGACCTGTCTGGTTACGTCAAGCACGCCTGTGACCCATGCTAGGTGGATTGTGGCAGGAAGACCCTGTTGGGAGTGTCTTTCTCTCCATCTCTGTATCTTTTTCTCTCTCATGAAAAAATAATAAACTGAAAACAAATAAATAAAAAGGCATAAAAAGAAGAGAACAAAAAGAAAGACTATTCCATTAATCAATTCTCAGTGAAGCTACTGTTATAAAGAATGACACAAAGGACCAGCAGGTGGCGTGGTGGTTAAGACGCTGGACTCCCACATGGCTGACCAGTTTGAGTCCTGGACCTGGCGGCTTGCTTTCTCACTTTCCCTTTCTCTGTCTCTCTCTGGTCAAATTAAAAAATAAATAACAAATGAAGTAAATAATTCATTTAAAAAAATGACACAAAATCCTCTCTAGTCAAATATTCACAAGTGAAGAGATGTTATATAACTTCAAAAGCTGATACACCAGAATATTCTGCAAATACTGCAACTTTAAAATACTAACTGAAATGACCAAAGAAAGTATAAAAATATTTTTTGTAAAGAGATCACTTTCAGCCTTAAGAGAATTAAAAACAAACAGAACAGCCATCTTTGTTAAAAACCTTAAAACATTGTGAAGTCTAAACTAAAAAGTTAGAGACTCAGCCTAGATTTAAGTCCAGACTATAAGAAGTTGGAGAATTAGGGCAAATTTAATCCTCTCTGATGAATTACTGAAGTGTACTTTGATAATTTTTTAAGGAATTTATTTTTTGGGGGGAAGAGGTTTTTGCTATAGGGCACATGTGCTCACAAGACAGGGAGAGACAGACAGAAAGTGAGGAATCACCCCCCCACCCCCACACACACACGGGGGATGGCCATGCCACAATCCCTTCTCCCCCCTTCTCCTCTCGGGATCTTGGGCACACATGCACACGCACCCAGCTTGAATTTAAGCCACCAGGTCTGGGACTCAAACCACAGTCGACCACATGGGAATCCATCAATGTAGTCATTTCGCCAGCTGCTGGTCCCTATTATTTTTTAATTTGCTATAGAGCATGTGTGCTCAACACAGAGGAACAGTCAACCTATGTGTTTGAGGTCTGACCTATTATTGATACAAGTCATCCTTATTTTCTATTTGAAAATAATTCCTTTTAACGTAAGTTTGAGATAGGCTGAATTAAAGAAAAATATAGATCATAAAAAACAGTTACGACAAATTTTGAAGGTGGTGTGCAAGCAACTGAAATTTGGAAAGTGCTGCTTTGAACTAATAAAAGGTATTACATTACCGATGTTCTTGTTTCTGGCTTTCTGTCATCTTCAGAAGCAGAATCTGACCTAAATTAAAATATAGCAAATGAATGAAACTGGAACAACCATCCCCCTCCTGTTCCCTCACATCACAGTCTCCGCTGTTTTTTTTTTTTAATTCATGTACCCTTTGTCCATGAACCCAGTGCCTGTGAAGTATCCCCGTCTGCAAATAAACTTATTTTGCAGTCTACTTCATACATTATCTGGTAGACATTAATTGTTTCTTAAAAAAAACAAACCAATCTTTGTTGAGCCCCTAGTCCATCAGACAAACAGAAGGCGGCAGACGGATTGGCAAGCAATCAGCCAGCCTGGGCAATGCTAGAACACTTCTCAAGCTAAGCTAAACCTCAGAACACCTGGGGTGCTTTTAAAAATAAAAACAGAGGGGCCAGCAGGTGGCATGGTGGTTAAAGACGCTAGACTCCTACATGGCTGAATGCAGTTTGAGTCCTAGACCTGGCAGCTTGCTTTCTCCCTCTCCCCTACAAGGATGACTTGTATCAATAATAGGTCAGACCTCAAACACATAGGTTGACTGTTCCTCTGGTCAAATTAAAACAATAAAGTGAATTAAATAATACTAAAAATATATATATATAAAGGAAGCAAGGAGAGCAGTAAAAAGCTTTGCTTGATTGTTAGTGATGTTGAGCATCTTTTCATAGACCTGTTGGCTATTTGTGTGTCTTCTTTGGAGACAGGTTTATTTAAATCCTTTGTCCATTTTAAAAATCAGGTTATTTGGCTTTTGGCTACTGAACTGTAGGAGTTCCTCATATTTTCAATATTGACCCCTTATATGGTCTACAATGGTTGAAAAATAAAAGACAACTTTTAATGAAGATGCAGACCAATTGAAACCCTATACGCTGTTCGTGGGGAAGTAAATGGGGCAAGTTACTAGTGAAAACAGTATGAAGGCTCCTTGAACAGCGAAAAATAAAACTACCAGTTGGTAGGTGGTGTGGTGCTTGAGGAGCTGGATTCCCAACATGGCCACCCACAGTTCGAGTCCCAGATCTGGTAACTTACTTTCTCACTTTTCCTTTATTTCTTGCTGGTCAAATTTAAAAAATTTTTTTAAATAATAATTTTTTTTAATGGTCAAAATAAAAAAAAAAAAGAAAAATAGAACTTCCATATAATCCATCCCAAAGGATCCCGTATATTTCCAAAGGAAGTGAAAGGAGCTACCTGGGTTTCCATGTTCATTATAGCGCTCTTCACAATAGCCAAGATACGGATGGGGGGATGGGGAAGTACATGTCCATTAAGCAATGAACAGATAGAGAAAATGTGGCATATACACACAATAGGATACTATTCCAGTGTTATAAACGATGTTGCCATATGTGACAATGTGGATGCACCTGGCTCAGTGAGATGAGCCAGCCATATGCACTAACTGCACGATTCAACTTACACTGGGAATCCATAATTGTCAAACTCATACAACCAGTAGAAGAGCAGTTGCCTGGGGTTGGGAGAAGGTAAAATGGGTCTTGTCGTCCAATGAGAATAAAGTTTCAGGTATGCAAGATGAAGTTCTAGAGATCTGTACAACACGATACCTGTAGTTAAGAATACTATGTTGGGGGCAGGACCAGCAGCTGGCATAATGGCTATGTTGCTGGACTCCCATGTAGTCGTCGCAGTTTGAGTCCTGAAGTCGGTGCTTAAACTCACGCCAGGCGTGTGTGCATGTGTGCCCAAGATCCTGGGAGGAGAAGGGATTGAGGCATGCTATCCCCACTTGGGGGTGATTTCTCGCTTTCTGTCTTTCTGATGAGCACACACTCCCTATAGCAAAACTTCCCACCCCCGCAAAAAAAAAAAAAAAAAGAATACTATGTTGGGGGCTGGCAGGTGGCATGGTGGTTAAGGGTGCTGAATTCCCACATGACCAACCACGGTTCAAGTCACGGACCTGGTGGCTCACTTTCTCTCATCAAATTAAAATTTTAAAAAGTTAATTAAAATAGTTCTTTAAAAAAAATAATAAAAGAGGGGCCAGCAGGTGGCATGGCATGGTGGTTAAGGGTACTGGACTCCCACATCGCTGTGCAGTGTGAATTCCAGACCTGGCGGCTTGCTCACTCTCTCGTCCTCACTCTCACTCTCTGTCCCTCTCTGGTCAAATTTAAATAAAGTTAAATAATTCTTTTTTTTAAAAAAAAAAATTTTTCGTAACTGTTTTTTATGATCTATATTTTTCTTTAATTCAGCCGATCTCAAACTTGTACACTTAACGATTTTTGTTAAGAGATTAGGTCTCCTGTTAAGTGTTTTGTTTTTACCACATAAAAACAAAAAAGGCAAAAAAGTGTTCTTATCACAATAAAAACAACAAAAAAAGGCAGTCCCTGTTCATCTTTGTCTCACTGGGTTAGTTTGCCATTATTAGCATTTTAACAAAATGGAATCATACAATATGCATTCTTTTTGGATGGCCTCTTCCACTGGGAATAATTATTTTTATTTTTTTTCACGTGACATATGTCAATATCTCATTATTTCTGAGTAGTATTTCACTGTATGGACATACTAAAAATGTGTTTCTCCATTCATCTACCAATGCACGTTTGCACTGTTTCCAGTTGGGGTTACTGCAGTAGAGATAACACAGCAGAGGCTCAGAGGTCGAGAGAATGCCCCAACGCCGTGTCGGCTGTCCAGGGAAAACATCACACCGGGTCCTCCCCTGTGAGGGGTGGCTGGGTGCAGAAGAGGAGGAAACTGCACCTTTGCCTTCCAGCGCTCACGTTAGCAATGACCTGCACGGCTTGAGGCTCATAAATTGCTTACCTAGATTGGTCATTTAATTCAGAAGCCTGGATTTTAAGAGATGGTTCTTGTAAACCTGAAGAGTACTCATGTTTGGAAGTCTCTAGTGATGAAAATTAGGAACAAAAAAGTATTAAGCAGCTCAAGTAGATATTTACATGTATCACTCAAGTCTTACTTCCGCTAGATTAAAAAAACAAAGATCTGACCTTGTGGCGTGTCATCCAGTTTCAATTTATCAGGTGAATGATCAGCTGTATTTGTTTGCTGCAGAAAAACAATAGGACCTTTGAAGGCAGGTAGGCAGGCAGGCAGGCAGGCAGGCAGGCTCTCTCTCTCTCTCTCTTTCTCTCTCTCTCTCTCTCTCTCTCTCTCATATCCAGAGGGCCTGTGCACGCACCAGAGAGATGAAGAAAGAAAAAGCATCCCCCACCCCACTGGGGCACGGTCATGACTACACACATGGTCATGCCGCAATCCTTTCTCCCCCATTTCTCTATCTCGTTAGAATTTCAGGTAATGTACACACATGTACCTGGCATGTTTTCCTAGCCATCTGGACCAGGATTCGAACTGTGGTCACTCAAGTAGTAACCAGCTTCCTGAGCTACTGCACTAAGGATCTGGCTCTTTGAAAGTCTTCTGAAACCATTTTGTTCCCCTTAAGTGCATGTATTGAATACTAAAAATAACTACGTTTTGTTTTTGTTTTAAGGTTTTTGCTGTAGGGTGCATGCACTTGCTGAAGACCGGGGGGTGGGATGAGTGAGAAATCACCCCCCAGGTGTTTCGAGCTGCATGCCCAGGGCTGGAACCATGGTCAGCCATGTGGGAGTCCAGCCCCTTAACTATCATATCACCTGCTGGCCCCAATTCCTGGCTCTTTATTCATTGGTAAATGAATTGATTGGCTCTAAATGACCGTTGGCTATTCCAAAAAATTCATCCACCTTCAGGAAAGAACGAACCACTCCCAAAGATATCAGTGTACCTCCGGTACTAGGAGAGCACGGGGGGAGGGGGGGGCTTACACACATCTGCTACGATGTCATACTAGGTAAGTGCACATGTCCCAGGGAGACAGCTTAAAAGAGGACAAATTTAGGGCTGGCAGGTGGCGTGGTGGTTAAGGGTGCTGGATTCCCACATGGCCGACCTCGGTTTGAGTCCCAGACCTGGCAACTTGCTCTTTCTGTCCCTCTCTGGTCAAATTAAAATAAAGAAAAACAATAAAGTTGAATAAAGTAATTAAAAAAAAATGACAATTTAGGGGCCAACACATGATGTGGAGGTTAAGGTGCTGGATCCCACATGGCCAGCTATGCTGTTCGAGTCCTAGACCAGGCAGCTTGAGAATCACCCTGGGCATGCGTGTGTGTGTGTGCCCAAAATCCTGAGAGGAGAATGGGGGAGAAGGGACTGCGGTGTGACCACCCCCCGGAGGGTGATTTCTCACTTTCTTCTCTTTTTTTCTGGCAAGTGCATATGTCCTAGAGCAAAAACAAAAAGAATAATTTACCTGGAAGAATCGTCTCTGATGTATTTTTTTTTTGATGTGATACAATTATCACGTATCTAGACATTGTAATCGTGCAAATGTAAGAAAATGAGAGAGACTGCCTATCGCATACTCCACGCAGGGCCTTAAATGCTGTGTGCATCTCTTCATCCCAAGACGGTCATGACTTCGGATTAGCCGTAACCGCCGTGTGCATATCCCAGCCTCAGTCTCGCTGATGTAAATAATCCGCCCCCATTCCCACAGACAGTCAACAAAACTCAGGTCTCGCTCCCACAGTAAGCTTCTTACCCTACAGCTCAGCCTCAAGACCCCAGATGAGAGGATTCGGTGGGGGCCAGCCTGCCATGGTTTCCAAGGGAGGGCCAAGTTGAGTGACAGGAGAGAACACACACACAGCGGGCAACAATAGACTAGAGATGCTTAAAAGCAGACAGGGGGCTGGCCAGGAAAAATGGTCTAGTAACCAGAGGCAGCTCCCCCCCACCCCCCGTCAGCACAGGAGTGGACACGGCTCAGAATCTCATCTCCAGCTCCCTGTACTCACAGGAGGCTCAGAATGGTCGCTGAAGGGGAGGGTTAGGAGGCAAAGGTCATCTCTAGCACCCGTGAACTCGGCCGGGTCGGTGGATTCTTCCTCTTGCTCTAGAGACACATTAAGAAGAGATCATTTAGGAACCAGCAAGTTGCGTGTTGGTTAAGGCACTGGATTCCCACATTGCCGATGGTGTTTCGAGTCCTGGACATGGCAGCTTGAAATTCATGCCAGGCACAGGTGCATGCATGCCCAAAATCCCAGCAGGAGAATGGAGGAATAGGTTCTGTGGTGTGGCCCTCCTCCCTGGAGGGTGATTTCTCATATTCCCTCTCATCATCTCTCTCTCTCTCTCTCCAATGAGCGCACATGTCCTATGGCAGAAACCTCAGAAGAAAGAATTCATTTAAAATAATAATACCACGAACGAGACACTAACACATTCTTCACTGCTCTTCATAGGACGCAAACCTGTTTACATCACAATCTGTTGGGAATTAAGTCTTCCCCCAAACTGCAAATCAGAAATCTACGGGAGCTTGGGAAAACAGCCTTGAGATACACTCGAGAGAAACAGGATCTAGTTTCACAAGGCTGGCTTTGTGAGCTGAAAGGATCCTTCTGATCCCGTCTCCTGCCTCCTGCTACCTCCATCATTTGTCGTCCTCTGTCATTTCCAGGTGACCCACAGACACACTTTACTGAATGGGAAAAAGGGTCGAGAAGGTATCAGCAGCTCCTCTGTCTTTGGACATACAATAAAACACTCAATACTTTCATATGATGACAGTTTTTCAGTGGCTTCTTCTGAAGAGGGCTTCACTGTTGCTCTTATAGGGGATTCGGTGAGGATTTATTTATTTCCCAGCGTATCTCTCCCTCTCCCTCCCTCTCTCTCTCTCTCTGCTAGTAAGAATCTCAGTTATCTTTTTTCTCAAACTTACTGAAAAGTTCTGAGGGAATTGTCATCTGATTGGACATCTGAAACACAAGCAAAAAGCCACATGACTTTTAAATGCAGTAGCTTTTAAAATAATTTTTTAAGACAAACTTAATGCTTAGAACACAACATACTGATAAATTAGAATGGCTCTATTTGTTTTCTCTTGAAAGATCATTTTACTGTTTGTAGGTGTTCTATGTCCCTCGTTTCTCCAAGACCAACTTTAACTGGTCATGACCCTATTCTCCACCACCCTATCTTGGTGACTTCAATTGTTTTAATTTTATTTAGTATTATTATTTTTAATTTGACCAGAGACAGAGAGGGAAAACAAAAAAGCAAGTCACCAGGTCAAGGACTCGAACCATAGCCAGCCATGTGGGAGTCCAATACCTCAACAACCAAGCCACTTGCCAGCCCTGAATTCTGTATCTTGTCCTTTCTCTGGCCCAAGGTTAATCCCCTTGAAATTTCTAATTGCTTTTTCTCCCAGGGGTTGAGCCTCTCTCGAGATAAGCCTGCAGTGAGTTACCACCTGTAGGATTCTCCACACCAATCCTTCCTCACAAGGACCTCATCTTCCAGGAGCTGCATCTTCCTCACATGTAAATCCCCATTCTCTTTCCATGATATTTTACAAAGGAACTTCCAAAAGTTCACAGAAAAAAATTTGTATTATGAAAGAAACTATGTATGAGCTTCAGAAAGCTTTCTGTACCAAAATAAATTCGTACTTCAATTCCATTCTTCTATGATTTTTTTTTGAGGTCCCCTCATATTCACTTTGAGAAATACAGAAACATAATTTTGATGGTTTTCTTTTTTAAATAATCTTTTTCCAAAGCTAATTTTTAAAATTATTTCTTCCATGAGTAGGAGAAGGAGAGAGAGAGAGAGGCAGAAACATAGCACCCCCAACAGTCTTGAAACCGCAGTCAGCCCTGCAAAACAGGCATGCATGTGCCAGTGCACTTAGACAGGTCGCTGGATGTGAACCCAGAACCCTCCCGTGAGAGTCAGCCTGCAAAGTGTCACGTTTTACCACTGTGAAATGGCCCAGCCCCTTTGATGTTTTTCATAAGTAAAGGCAAATCTACAGTCAGGCTAATTCATCATATAACATTATGCGGGATGTGTTTCTTATTTTTTTGGGGGGGGGGAGAGGTTTTCGCTATAGGGCACATGCGCTCACCAGACAGAGAGAGACATAGAGACAGAAAGCGAGAAATCACCCCCCAGGGAGGATGGCCACGCCGCAATCCCTTCTCCTCCATTCTCCTCTCGGGATCTTGGGCACGCACGCACACGCGCCCGGCGTGAATTTTAAGCCACCGGGTCTGGGACACAAACCGCGGTCGACTATGTGGGAGTCCAGCGACATAGCCATTACACTAACTGCTGGTCCTGGGATGTATTTCTTATTAAGTAATTGATTCTTCTTTATTTCTCATCCTCGCCTGTGAAATAGTGTTTTCAAAGGGTCGATCTTTGGGAACTATTTTTTTTAAAAACAAATTAATTTTATTTTTTCACTCATTTATCTTTAACTTGACAGAGAGGAAGTGAGAAAGCAAGTCACCAGGTCTGAGACTCAAACCGTGGTCAGCCATGTGGGAGTGTTCAGCACCTTAACCACCATGCCACTTGCTGAGATGTTTTTGTAGACCTTCATATACAACTCAAACTGAAAGGAAGCCAGCCCTCAAGTCTCTGAATTCAACTTCCCGTCAGCTCTTACCACGGTATTTTGTCTTATCACAAATGTCTTTCCCTTGCTTACCATCTGCAACAGAGAAACAATTCTTGTTCTTACATGGAAGTAGAAAATATTAGAGTCAGAGAGATGAAGAACACAGCAATCAAGAGGTATAGAGCAATTCTACGAGAGAAGAATGGTAGAAACAATGCTGGGAAAACTCCCTAACTGCCCCTCTTCCTGATAACTTCCTCCTAGGATCCAGAAGGAGCTGGTCCAGAAAGAGACCAGAACAAAAGGACCGGGGTGGGTCTCCTCAGGACACCAGGGAGATAATGAGAAGGCAACGTTATCCTAGAAAAGCTTTCAACTCTTCACAAGAGATGAAAAAAAGCATTTTGAGGTACAAAGAGGATTTGTGTCCTAAATAGCTAATGACACAGGAAAAGGAAGAACTGAGGTGTCAGGTGGTAATACGATGATGATGCAACTGGGCCCCATGGGAAAGTCCTGGGTTCATGCCCTGAGGTCTTTCTGAGCACACTGGGGCACAAATGCAGGTTTCTGTAATTTGGGCTACCTAAGATTGGGGTATGCAGCATGTCAGTCCTATTGGGGTGTCTCCTCCCTCTCCCTGTCTCACATAGAAGAAATAAACAAAATCCTGCTCTGTTATTTAAAGTGAGGAGGCAGGACTGGAATTACAACCGAGAACTCTCAACTCTTTATAGTCTAGAGATCAAGTCTTTCACTTGATCAGATGTTCCTATCAAAACTCAAAAAGGAAATTTGAGAGACAGGAAATATACTAAAACATTTTTAAGTCATTGAAAAAACAAGTCTGTCACCTGTTTGTCTTTTCCTAAAACTTGAATGGAAGCCTGGGATATGTTGAATTGCAAATCAAAATGGATTTCGACCTTCCTCACTTCTTTGTTGCTGATAACAACAGGCTTCTTCAGGTACATGATGAATAGCTTCATCTTCTCAGTTTCTAACAAAAAATCCAGTATCAATGCATATCAACATACTGCAAGGCTTTATTTTAAACTTTTAAAATTTTAAATAAGTGTACGGGGTTACTTGTTTACCATCCAGATTTCTCTGATAAAAAGTTGAAAAAAAAAAAATTAGGGCTAACTCCATGACAACAATAATTTGCTACATAGGAGAAGCAGGAGACCACATGGGGACCACAGTTCGAATCCCTGACCTAGTCGACCTGAAACATGCCACTTTACGGCATTGCAACTTCACCACCGGATCACGCTGCTTTCCCTGCTGGTCCTGCAGAGCTAGCACCTCCAGACCTGTGCATCTTGCACCACTGAACACAGTACTTTCACAGTCTCCAAATCTAGCCCCGGCACTCAGGAGGCAGACTGATGTAATCCCAGTCCTAGGTCCTAGCAGCACAGACCTGCAGCAGCTGCACCCTGACTCCACTTCTGGTACATAGTTCCTACCCAGCCTTGCAAGAAAGTATACCCATTCCACTCCAGTACCAAGATCAACCTCTGCCCAACAACCTGCAGAACCACCTGCTATGGCCGTGGAGAGAATCAGGCAGTTTCCTGAATGGTGGGCAGTTTCCTCTACCTCCAGGGATTGAAATGGCTAACTGAACAACTAGCCACCCCACAAAGGAATACACTAAGAAACAAAATGCAGAAAATCAGAGTAATGTCAGAAATGAATTTTAGAATATTGACAAAACTCAATGAGATCCAAGAGAACAGAAATAATTTCAGAGGAGAAAAATATGGGATAAGTTATTCATATACAATTATTGCTATAACTGTACAGTTATAGCAATAACTATAAAGTGGAAAGGACAGCATCTCTGAATTTTAAAATATAATCTTTAAAATAGCCCAAACTAAAAAGAAAAAAAAGAAAAATTACCTTCAATCATGCCATGGAGTCTTCCTGCTATCTCAAGACACAGTTAAAATCTGCCCTATGGAGCCTGGCAGTGGCAGAAATAACACACACCCACAGTCTGAATTCCCCGAGTATGCTGGGCGCACAGGTGCCTAGGATCCGGCCACCTGAGGCTGGGAGGTAGACGGAGGCTCTGAGGCTCTGTCAGGGATGCTGTATGTGTGTCTCCCTCACCCACAGAACAAACACAATATTTTTAAAATTTGACCTAGAATTAATTAAGCATCTACTTTAAATATAAACAAGCAATACTCCATTCAATCTGAAATAGTATAAAATGATCACCATACCTATTACGCTGAAATTAATCACTGCTTCTTTCGAAAGTCTTACTGGGTCCCACAGAGTGCTCTTGGGAAAATAAGTGAGATCTATGAGGACTTAACATAGAACTTACCTAGCAACAATCTCTAGGTGTTTTGGTCTAATAAGAAATTAAATAGCATTACCTTGGCATTGTCTATGTAAAAAGTTACCCTCTGACTTCCTAGGTTGAAATCAATCCAAAATTTCTCTAATTTTTCATCTGCTGGTTTTCTCATCTGTAAGAAATTTCAGCAAAAATTAAACACATAAAACTCATGTCAAAGGGTCCTATTAAAATTACTCAACTGGGAACCAGCAGTTAGCGTAATGGCTATGTCACTGGATTCCCACGTAATCGACCGCGGTTCACGTCCCGGACCCGGTGGCTTAGAACTCACGCCGGGCACGTGTGCGTGCGTGCCCAAGATCCCGAGAGGAGAATGGAAGAGAAGGGATTGCGGCATGACCATCCCCCCTGGGGGGTGATTTCTCGCTTTCTGTCTCTATGTCTCTCTCTGTCTGTCTGGCGAGCGCACGCGCCCTATAGCGAAAACTTCTCAAAAAGAAAAAAAAATTACTCAACTGAAAACAGAGCTCATGCTTTCTCCAGAACACCACTATTCTAATACTACATGGCATAAGGTTTCTCTTTATTACCTAATTCATGTGGTTCAAATGGCTTAATTTTAGGAAATTGAGGTCCTCAGACAACACAGACAAAAGATCATCATTTTATACAACTAAGCTGTTTTCAAAAAGAAAAAGTCCCACTATCCTTAGCATTTTTAATCAATAGCATCAGTGTCAGATGGTTCTAGTCACACAATTTTTTTCTGGCGAGATGGAGAAAAAAGTTCTACACTGAAGCACTGACAATGCACATTGCATACAGATGAAAACTTCCAGAGGAAAAAATACTGAGCTCCAATGTCAGTGGCAATATGCCGTTTAACTGAGCATCCATTAGAGTCAAAACTTGAAGATTTCAGATTATCTTCATTTTAATTATTATAATGTGCATGTATGTTCATAGTAGAAACCGATTATAAGAGTCAAGCAGTCTGGTGTTTATGGAAACAGGAAATGTCTCGTTCTTCCCATTGGTATCATTAACAATGCCTTTTGTTTCCTCCCACAAGTTTTCTAGATAGGTATCAAGAAACACATGTAAAACTCTAATTCCCCGGGGGCCAGCAGATGGCATAATGGTTATGTCGCTGGACTCCCATGTAGTTGGCCATGGTTTGAGTACTGGTTCCAGCAACTTAGAACTCATGCAGTGTATGTGTGCGTGTATGCTCAAGATCCTGAGAGGAGAATGGAGGAGGAGAGATTACATCATGGCCATCCCCACCCCAAGAGGGGGTGATTTCTCTCTTTGTCTCTGTCTCTCCAGCTAGTGCACATGCCCCATAGCAAAAATCTTAAAAAAAAAAAAAAAATTCTAGTTCACCAACAGAGCAAACACTAGACTTACTATTCCATGACCTGCTTTCCAACAAATAGTATTCCTTATGCACTTCTTTATATCACACATGCCTTTTTTTTAAAAAACCATAGGGTGCATGCACTTTCCAGAAAGAGAGAAAGGGAGAAATCACCCTCCAGGGGGGATGGCCACACTGCAGTCCCTTCTCCATTCTCCTCTTGGGATTTTTGGGCACACATACATACACACCCAGCATGATTTTCAAGCTGCCAGGTCTGGAACTTGAACCATGGTTGGCCATGTGGGAGGCTAGCTCCTTAACTACCATACCACCTGCTGGCCTCATGCCTATTCTTTTTTTAAGAAGATTTAGTTTTATTCACTGTCTTCCTTTCTTCCTTTCTTCCTTCCTTTCTTTCTTTCTTTATTTATTTTGAAGTTGACCATAGAGAGAAGAGAAGTGAGAAAGCAAGCTGCCAGATCCAGGACTCAAACCACAGTCAGCCACACAGGAGTCCAGTCGCCTTAACCACGCCACCTGCTGGCCCCATGCCTATGCTTTTATACCTATAGAATTAAATAAAGCTTTTCACACACAATGTATGTTACTGGAAGCCAGTATAAGGACTTTGAAAGAAATTTGGAAGTCCTAAAAGAGGAGGACCAAGCAGAGAGCAGAATTCTTAGACAACCAGAAGATAACAGACAGAACTGAGATACAGACTCAGTCTATCTTAAGTAAGTTCTAGAAAGAACTTACAGTAGACTCTACTTAGAGTTACATGAGCTGAAGGCCCAGCTCACAGAGGCTAAGAAGAGGGCTGAGAACCTAAAACAAAAGGTTAATGAAGACATTTTGAACAGGGTCTAGGAAACCTCAGCACTCCAATTCCCAGACCCCTGAAAATCTTACCCTGAAACAGATGCTGTGGGTTGAGACCCTTCTACATGAAGGAACCCATCTCCTCTAAAGACCCAAAAAGAAGCTGAAAACAAATGGCTCATCTTTGAAAAAATACGAAGTGGAATGAACTAAAAGAAAGAAGTTTGGTTCTGCTGCAGTTTGTATACAGTTTGAACCCCAAAGGTTTGTATGCTAGAAGCTTGGTCCCTAGTGCAAAGCGTTGAAAAGTGATGATGCCTTTAAAAGGCAGGAACTAGTGAGTGGTGGATAACAGCAGGACAGCTCTCAAGAACAGATTAATGCTGCCTTGCATGAGGAAGTGAGTTTTTGCTCTTGTAGGAACGGTCAGCTCCCACAGGGGCAGGTTGTTAAAAAGAGGCTGCCCTCAGGTGTCTCTCTGGCGTCCCTTCCGGCTTCTATGGGCCGTGTTGTGACGTAAGACTGAAGGCCTGCCAAATGCTGGGCCCCATGCTCTTAAACGTTCCAGCCACTAGAATCATGAGTCAAATAAACCTCTATTCTTTCTAAATCACCAGTCTCAGGTATTTCTGTGTAGCAACACAACAACAGGCTAAGAGAGGCCCCACTGTTGGGGAGAGAGGGGAGGTAGCAACAGAAATAAAAATACAAGGAAATTGTTTTCCATCTAGGCATGAATAATATTACCCACAAATAGAGTAAAATGAGGCAAGGTTTCTGTAACTGATCTCACTTGAACAGTGTGGGCCCTAAAATTTATTTCTCCAGGAGTTAACAGGAGAGCCCTTAAACTTACAGGTATTGCATCTCAGTTATGGTATGGGCTTTTTCAAAAGGATACTCTTTTCTTTCTGGTCACCTCTCATTAGTATCCTTTTTTAAAAAGCCATTTTGAGTATCAGAAGATTGACCTGAGGGAGGAGACAGGCCCGCACCCATCCTGTGAGATGGAGCCAACTTACAAGATGGAGTCATTCTAGTCAAGCTTTTACTAAAAATTTGTTGCTCTCACTAGACACCAATTAGTAGTTCTCCCACTTCTTGTCCACACAGAGAACTGCTTACAGCCTGCTTGAGATAATGACAGCTAAAATTAACATTTTCCCTATCACTACTACGTTCAAACAAAGAGCGCAGTCTCTCTCAGCCTGGAAGGCACGAGCAAAGGACCTTGAGTAGTAACTCCAGGGGGTGAGTTATTTCTTGAGAAATGGGAACATGGCATGCAGGCTTGCACCTGCAAGATAAGTGTGTCTGAAAGAATTTACATTTTAGAAGCACAAGGGAAAAATACATTTAAAAAAAAAAAAAAAAACAACTTTGTCTTAGGCTTGTGGGAAACACGATAGAAACTGGAAACTTTATGGGCCACAGACCTCAGACTAAGATCTGCTGAATGTTAATGAAGGTCTGAATGTCTAAACTCTTGTGACTTGTGGGTCCACTCCCAAACAGGAGAAGAATGACAAGAACCATCTGACACGTAGCCCCCACGAGGGAAATGCATGCACAACTCTCTCCTTGCTGAGATAAAAACCCCTCACCCTAGCTCCTCTTTGGCAACCCATTTGGACCCTCTTCTGCTGCATTGGAAATGTTTTCTCCTTCTCCAATACATTTTGCTTACTATCCTGTTTGCCCACCTTTCTAACTCCTCGTAAGCATCAGACAAGAACCAGCATGGGTGTTGGGTTGGATCACCCAACACTCCCGCATCATAACGATGCCAACCTCACTGTAAATGTCATCGCCCACCACTCTCACAAGCCCCAAGGGAGAGAAACATACCTCATGCCCATCAGCGAAAGCAGCGACACATGGAAACGAATAAACCCTGCAAAGCATTTCACAATTAAAAAATAAAATAAAGCATGGAAGACCCCAAACATAACAAGCATTTATAGCTAATATATGTCATTAGGTGTCTATACGGAGTATGGTAGGGGGATCTCAAACCTGCAAATGAAGATCTACTATAAGTAGATTCCAAATCTCCATCTGGCATTCTACAAGTTAGGTTTACTGGTACCATATTTCAATCTAGTTGCTTGGTGAGGTTCCCCAAAGGGGCGGGGAGGGCAGGGTATGTGAATTTAGCAAATACGGGGGCAGAGACCTTCAAAAAAGTTTGTGGAAAATGTGTATAATATGAAAAACTATGCATGGGTTTCAAAACATTTTGCACTAACATAAAACTTGCACTTCAGCTGCATTTTCTATGAATTTTATGAAGTGCTTTCATTTTGTATCAAAGACTTAACCTGTTCACAGCAAGCCTACCCCTCATGACCTCAAGCCAACAGAAGACTGTTTTTCATAAAACCTATGGATTTTTTTAAAGAGGTTTTTGCTATAGGGCATGTGCGCTCGCCAGAGAGAGAGAGAGAGACCAGCTGACTGCTGGTCCCTAAACCTAGATTCTCTAGAGGATACACTATTAAAAATATTCCAAAAAATAAATATGTTAATGATGATAAATATTTTTAGAGACCAGCAGTTAGCAAAATAGCTATGTCGCTGAACTCCCACGTAGTCGACCATGGTTCACGTCCCAGACCCAGTGGCTTAAAACTCACGCCGGGCACATGTGCGTGCGTGCCCAAGATCCCAAGAGGAGAATGGAGGAGAAGGGATTGCGGTGTGGCCATCTCCCTGGGGGGGGGGTGATTTCTTGCTTTCTGTCTCTCTGTCTCTGTCTGGTGAGCGCACATACCCTATAGCAAAAAAAAAAAACCTCTAAAAAAAGAAAAAAAATGATAGAGATATTTTTAAACACACTCAAATGACCACCATGCACGAAAGTTCTAAGCTAAGGTTCCTACTCAATAGACGATTCAATTATACTAGTAAATGATATATCCTATATTCTCTCCTAACATAAAACCAATTCTAGATATTTTGAATATTATTATTTTCAGAGTACAGTTAGTCAATAAGATAATGCTCAGAGAGAGATCTTACCTTCTTTGATCACCAAGTGTGTTGTTTAGGTCATTGAGAAATCGTCTACCGTCCTTCAAAGTAAACAATGCAAATTTTTCATTAAAAAAATAAAAAATCAAGATGCCTTATTTCATATAACCTTGGCCAGCATGCAAAGGCCATCATTTGCCTCTGAATGGTCAGGATCTGGTAACATCAAGCAGCTTCCCAAGAATTCCTGATTATCTGTTAACAATACTTTGTGCTACGAAGCAGCAGCTCCAGACACGTTTCTGGAAAGAACTCCCCCTCCCCAACCACTGCATCTTCAGCTGAGGAATACTTAGGTCTCCAATAGTTAGATGCACAATTAGGTTTCACTAGGCCAGAGTAAGCAAGAGAAATGCATCTTACTTACGACAAGCATTACCAGAGTTGGCGAATGCATTAGGCATCCAGCTACCTAATACCTGGCCAGCAGAAGCCAACCGTACACCTATAAAATGTATCGGCTTTGGGATTATATGGATGTATTATTTCCTGCCAATTTCCCTTTTCAGAAGTTGTCTATCCCATGCCTTCCTGGGTCTTGTCACCCAACATAAGGACAGAGACTGCTTTTAGAGTTCTCCTAATTCACGTTATCAGGAAGGTAAATTCGTTGCCCCAACATTCTCACAGCAAAATGACACTGATCGAGATGTGATGCCTTTCTGTAGGCAAGGTTGGCTCTGGTGGTCAAACACTCCTCATGCTCCGTGTCTGCATTTAGCAATAAACAGACATTGGCAGTATAAACCTTTCATCTAAAAGCTATTCAATTAAGTTGATGGTTCTAGGAGGACACTGATTTCAAACAATATAATTACTTTTCATTCATTTTCATCAGATTTCTCTGCAGAAGACAAAATGACAGAGAAAGGCAATTAACACCTGAGTGTGTCTAACATCCTCCAGACTGAGTTTTCTCATTTAATTCTCATGGTTTTTAAACAGAATTTCCATTTTGCAGAAGAGGACACCTGAGCTTCGTGAGTCAACATAAGCCAGGGAGGGGGAACTCAAACCGAAGTCTGGGACAGTCCCGAAGCTCACGGTCTTCTCATTCAGATCATCCTGAATCCAGGCTAAGCGCCTACTATGTATATTGCAATAGGCTCAGAGTCTGAATGCAAAGTTTCGATTTTTTAAAATATCTGATTTCCTGGCAGTCTTTGGCAGAAAGGTTTTGTTAAAGGAGCATACTGTTATTTAACATTTTTACCTTTTTCATTTGAAGAAAAAAAAAATTTAAGAGATTTTTGCTATAGAGCACATGCGCTGGCCAGAAAGAGGCAGAAAGTGAGAAATCATCCCCCAGAGGGGATGGTCACGCCACAGTCACTTCTCTGCCATTGTCCTCTTGTGATCTTCGGCATGCACACGCATGCCTGGTGTGAATTTTAAGCTGCGTGAGTCTCTAATTTATTCATCCAGGACTTGAACCACAGTCAACTACCGGAGAGTCCAGTGTCGTAACCGTTACACCATCTGCTGGTCCCCATTTTAAGACATTTTTAAAACAAATGTTTTTAGCTATTTTAGGATATAAGTAGACACACAACGAAGCCATAAGCTACTGGGTCATTGGGGAAGTCATGACACATTTTTGCATAGAAAAATCCATCATGATTTTTCAACGATCTAATATTTTTGTGCTACCCAAGGACACAAGTGCAGTAGCCCAAGTTGCACAAAAGAAATGGAAAAATTATTGTTTCTCCAAATTGTAGAGGGTGGATGGCTCCCACAACCATGACGCCATAGTACCCCTCTGCCACCTAATATGCCATGCCAGTCTCAACCTTCTGCATCACTGGCACTTTTCTCTGCAAGGTTAAAATGACTTTTCTTTTCCAATTTCTTTTCCGATTCTCTTTACCCTTCAAAGAGTCACTGACATTTGTTCTCCACTCCAAGACATTTCCATCAAATTCATAGTTCTGCTTCGAGTCTAAGTTACCTATATGTGTCACCATATTTAGCCCCAATATTCTGTTTGCACTATCTTTAATTGTTTTGCTCATGTGGTACACAAGATTTAAGAGGGTCAACTTAAAAGTACTTAAGTAAAAGATATCCTCCCCTAAATTCAATGCAGGGGAAAGTACTGATAGAATGCTTAATAAATATTGGGGGTTTTTTTTGGAGGTTTTTGTCTTAGGACATGTGCACTCGCTGGGGAAAGAGAGGGAGAGAAATCACTCCCCAGGGGGGTGGCCATGCCACAATCCCTTCTCCTCCACTCTCCTCCTAGGATTTTTGGATGCACACACAGGCTCGGTGTGAGTTTCAAACCATAGGTCTGGGACTCGAACCATGGCCAGCTATGTGGGATATCCAGCGACGCTGTAACTGCTACACCATCTGTTGGCCCTAGAATCCTTAATAAATACTGATGAAACACAAACGCATGACCAGGAACCTCACCGTCTCAAATTCTCGAACCTTAATTGCTTTGAAAGCTTCAGCAATAACGTCATCATCAAACCACTCGTGGACAAGGTCAGCCCTTGAGCTTTTGGTCGTCAGCCTACACAAGGCCTCAGAAATCCCCACCTGCTGGTCATAATCTAAAGATTAAGAACATGGTAGACAATTCATCCTGGGCATGAAACAAACAAAAATGTGCTCCAGAGCTATGGTTGGTTCTAAGGAACTCCATCACAGAAAACAAACATTGTATCTTACAGTAGTAGGTAGCAAGAGGTATCTTGGAGTAATTATCATTAATTCAATATTTAAAAAATATTAGGAGAAAAACCTAAACAATAAAGTTAGCATATAGCAATTTTTTCTTTATTTTATACATTCAATCACTGTAAATCAGTAGTTTGTAAATTTAATTTGCTCAGCATGTACATACAGCCATTTTTTGGTGCTATAGGGCACATGCGCTCGTCAGAATGAGAGACAGACAGAAAGCGAGAAATCATCCCCCAGGGGGGATGGCCACGTCGCAATCTCTTCTCCATTCTCCTCTCGGGATCTTGGGCACGCACGCACACACACACCTGGCAAGAGTTTAAGCCACTGGGTCCGGGACTTGAACCATGGTCGACTACATGAGAGTCCAGTGACATAGCCATTACACCAACTGATGGTCTGCACATAGCATTTTTTTAAAGTAAATATTCCTGGTCTTGAATTTAAGATATATTAGAGTAGTCATCAAATGCAAATATCAGACAGCCTTAAAAATATTCCAAAAATAAAATCCCAAGATAAATCTTCTATTGTTTCACACCAGATAAATTAAAACTACATGTATCGATGTTTAAATCCCAGATAATTTTTAAAAGATTTATTCATTCATTTATTTTAATTTGACCAGAGAGAGAGAGATAGAGACAGAGAGAGAGAGAGAAAGTGAGAAAGTAAACCAGGTCCAGGACTCGAACCGTAGTCGGCCATGTGGGAATGTCTAGCACCCCAACCATCACGCAACCTGCTGGCCCCAAATTCCAAATCATTTTTAAGAGTGAAAATGGAGCTGCAGCCAAATATATCCAGCATTATGGCATTTAGGTAACACCTTTAAAAATATGCAAAATAATGATGTTTGTAGCTTATGAATATGAAGAAGAAAAATATACTTGAGAATAAAAAACAAAAGTCAAGAAGAGGAAATGAAATTGGGGACATGGCCACAGGGGAGTTTCTGTGACTCTTTCTTCTACTTAAAAAGAGACTCAAAGCAAATACGACAAGATGCTAAAATCTGAAAAAGCTGATTTGTGAATAAATGAGTATTTTCTAATTATCTTGTACGATTTTCAAAATGCTGAACTCTTTCAAATGAAAAATAAAATCCCGATTCCTATTTTCAATCTGGCCATAATTTATTCTTCATAGTTCCAAAGTACTCAAACCCTCCTGTGTCCAATATTTAATATTCTCATATTTAAAATTCTGAAATAATTCTTACCACCCACAGTTAACATTGTCCTCGCAAGGTCTTTCCTGAAAAATGTAGATAAATCATGTTTTACTGCCATAAACATCAAGAGAGAACACTTTATTATACTGGCATTGAATTCTAAAACCAAGATATGGATTTCTGAAATCATTTCAAATTTAGTACTGGAATTTCCTCAATGTCAATTACCAGTTTTGGGAAAGACATTTTTGGCAAAACATTCTCAACTTTATGTACTAATGATAGATATGTATTTTCTAAGAATCTAGAGCTATTATACTCTTCGAGGTTCCACTTCCCTGCCTTCAAAGCAAATTTAATTTGATGATCTCTGAGGATTCATCAAATGCTATGATTCTGGGCTTTCATAATTTCATTATCCTATCAGGATGTATGTCACTTTATGTCACTTGACACCTGGAAGACATGGTACAGCCAGCCCCATGAGTCTTCCTGATGAACTTTTTGACCCAATTTTAAAAACTAATACATTTAATTCAGAGATGTAATGAGATTAAGTTATTAGATTTACTATAACTAACAGATTCTCCCGGTACATACTCATTTAGGAATCTTCATGATTGATAAAAGCTAACAAGTGGGATGTTGATCCCTTTTCGTGGCTGACATCACTCCCGGTTTGAAGAATGGATTAAGAAATGCCGTGATAGTTCGGTTTCTAATAAATGGATCGATCTCTATCACTATGAAACGGGAGCCCCATGACAGAATCCCAGAGCGCGCTGTGTAGCTCAGTGCTTCAGGTTGGACCTTGGACTTGAAGCCCGGAACATTGCAGATTTCTGCCACACACAGTCACAGCTGTGGGTCCCGCGAGTGATGGAGTGTAACAATCACATCCTTGCTGTGCTCAGTGGTTAGTACGGTCACATTCCTTCCTTGAATTTCTTTTTCCGAGAGGTTTTTGCTATAGGGCGCATGCGCTCGCCAGAAAGAGTCAGAAAGCGAGAAATCACCCCCTAGGGGGGATGACCATGCCACAACCCCTTCTCTTCCATTCTCCTCTCAGGATCTTGGGCACGCATGCACATGCACCTGGCATGAGCTTAAACCACCAGGTCCGGGACTCAAACCGTGGTCAACTACATGGGAGTCCAGCAAGATAGCCATTACGCCAACTGCTGGTCCCATGCCCTGCATGTTTTAAACTGCCAGATCCAGGACTTGAACAGCGGCTGACTACTTGGGAGTCCAGTGACATGACCATTATACCATCTGCTGGCCCCACCATGGTTGGATTTCAAAACAAGGTACTGCTTTTGTTCTTCCCATAGACATCCATTACAACCTTACCTCCAAATTTCATGACCCAAGAATTACGTAAGTGGCACCGAGTCACCAAAAAGAAAACAGAAACAAAAGAAAAACCACCACTTGAAAAGCAATAAAAATTCTACACCCTGTCTGTGCAGCTATTTCAGTAACTGGTAACCCTGGAGCAGTTACTTTCCACCAGGAGATGTGTTCATTGCTTTGAACAGACTGCCTGAGCTAACCTTCGCAGAAGCAATCAAATAGGTGTTATTGTTAAGTCCATATCCAGCACACTGAGGTACAGAGGTGAAAGCTGTGCTCCTATGAAACCAGTGTAAGTGGCAAGACTAGAACTTGAAGCCAAGCAGTCTGTACTCTTAACAGTCTGCCAGAAGTCACTAATTTAGTTTTTATTCACAATGGAAAAATAACCTATAGCCTGAGAAAACATTTTACCTCAATAAATTTGATGTAAAAAAAAAAATTATCATTAAAAAAATTTAAAAAAAAAAAAGAAAACTTAGCAAATCTCTCTTTCTCTTCAATCCCTCCCTCACAGCCTGGTACAGTGCCTGGTACACAGTATATGTACAGAGCGTTAACCGCAGGGAAAAAAAAGAAGTCACCTTATCTCAAGAGAACCAAGATTGAAGCAATATAATCACGAGAGATTTCGCCCTTACAACATCCCCTTGGAGTACAAGGTCACTTACATAAGCTGACGTGGGCCTTCTGAGAACAAGAGTCTTTGTCGCTCTTCCCTAGGTAGGGCATGCAAAATGCAGTTCAAGGTCCTCAGGGCCTTTCCAGTGTTGGAGGTGTTCACGGGGAAGGAAAAAAAAAAATTAATGTACAACCCCCTCTAAGCCTTCAAGAACAACTGTTACCGGTATTGTTTGCAGCTCACCTCTTGTTGAATAAAATGACTTACAGTCTTTTCTGTCACCAGAAATCCCAAGGTAAGAACGAAGGAATCCAGCATCTGAATTTTACCTGAAAATGTAATTTTAAAAGAATCAAATTTCTGGGACCAGCAGTTAGCGTAATGGCTATGTCACTGGACTCCCAAGTAGTCGACTGCAGTTCGAGTCCTGGACCCGGTGGCTTAAGCTCATGCCAGGTGCGTGTGCGTGCATGCTCAAGATCCCAAGAGGAGAATGGAGAAGAAGGGACTGTGGTGTGGCCATCCCTTCGGGGGGTGATTTCTCCTCGCTTTCTGTCTCTGTCTCTTTCTGGCAAGTGCACACACCCTATAGCAAAATAAATAAATAAATAAAATAAAATTTCTAACAAAAAGACCAAGAAAACGACTCCTACGGAGCAGGGAGAGGCAGACGGAAAGAACCACGGGACCAGTAAATGGGACCAGTAAAAGACGGGAAATGACATCGTCTGAACAAGGGACAGATTACAACGGGCTTCGGGTTACAAAAACCCCAGGCCACAGCAGACCTGCACTACAGACCCAAGAAAGCAAGTGGCATCTGGTGTAAACTGTGGCTGTTTGCTGTGACCATCTTACCTCAGCAGAACTACTAGTTTCTTTGCCCATTCTTTTTTCTTAAATTTCTCTTTCTTTCATGAGAAGAGCACACCCTTCCCACAGGATCCTGATGCCACGATCCACCCCACTCTCAGTCTATGCCTGATCATTGATGCATGTGTACCTGCCGCACTGAGGGAGGTCTGCAGACACACACCAGAAACTTCTCCATGTGGGTTAGCCTCACAGGGACCGCCCTCAGGTTCCCAGAGCTACTTTTCTATCCAGACTCAGCAATCTCCAAAGGGAGACTCCTGCACGCTTATCATTTTTGTGTATTTCTTACATGCATTTTATAAAAATAAAAATGTTATGGGACCAGCAGGAGGCATAGTGGCTAAAGCTCCTACATGGCCAACTATACAGTTCAAGTCCTGGACCCTGTAAATTAGAAATCATGTTGGGGGTATGTGTGTGTCTCAAAAATCCCATGAGAACTGAGGAGAAGGGGGACCGGCCAGTGGCATGGTGGTTAAGGGCACAGAACTCCCACGTGGCTGACTGCATTTCAAGTCCCAGTCCTGGAAGCTAGCTTTCTTGCTCTCCCTCTGTCCCTTTCTGGTCAAATTAAAGTTAAATAAAAAAATTCTTAAAAAAAAAAAATTGAGGAGAAGGGATTGCAGTGTGGTGACCCCCCTGGAAGTATGATTTCTCACTTCCCCTGCTTGTCTTTCCTGAGCGTGCACGCACTGAGAGTAAAGCTAGATCACCACTGTCCATGGTTTAAGGAAACAAAAATGTGATTGCAAGAAGTCAAGTTTATCATGAACCATGACCAAATCAGCCAAAACAAGAACTTCCAAGAAAAACTCGAGAACTGCGGTCAAAATGTAGGGGGAAAGTCGCATGGAGGCAAAAAGATGCAATCAATGAATAAGAGAATCTTACAGAGAGGAGAAAGGAGAGAGGAACTGGAATGGACTTCTTGGTGGTCTTCCCATCATCCTCCCCATTCTCTGTGAGGGAGTGTCATACTATGTGGGTCTGATGGGCTTAGAGGTCCTGATTGGCTTAGACTATTCAGTACATCCCTCTCCTCTTTCCACAGTGTTTGGGTTATTTGGGCTGAGATCCAGTCAAAGCCTTAACCATGACGCCACCTGCTGGTCCCTCTCCTCTTCTTTTCAAAGAAAGTATTGGAAGTTCTGGACAGTGCAGTGCAGAAAGAGCAAAATAAAAGCATCTGAATAGGAAAATAAGTGAAACTGATCCTATTCACAGATAGCATGATTATATACATAGAAAATCCAAAAGAATCCATTAAGACATTCCCACAAGTGGTAAGTGAATTTGATAAGCTTGCAGGATACAAAATCAGTATGCAAAAGTCTATAGCATTGTTGTGTACCAACAATAAACAACTGAAGTAAAATTGAAGAAAAAGCAATCTAATTTATGATAGCCATGAACACACACATGCGCGCACACACACTGGTTAGGGATAAACCTGACCAAAGAGATAAAAGGTGTTTACATGGAAAACCATGAAAAAATAAAAAAAGAAATGATATACAAAAGTGCAAAAACATCCCATATTCTTGGATAAGAATATTATAATTGAATGTCAATTCTACCTATGTGCATTTGCAAATTCACTGCCATTCCAGTCAAATTCCCAGTGACATTCTTTACAGAAGAAAACAATCAAAAATTTTTTTTTGGAATTATAAAAGACTATTTCCAAGGCAATACTGGGCAAAAAAATAAAGTCAACTCACTATCCAACTTCAAAACGTATTACAAAGTTGTGATAAAGCACGGTAGTGACACAAAAACAGACATATAGACCAATGAAATAGAATCGAGAATCTAGAAATAAAAAAAAAAAGTGTACGTTTTGGGGTTTAACAAAGGGCGCAAGATAATCC